TTATTCCAGCATGAATTAACATGTGAGTCTTAAGGTATCCTTTACTTGTAAAACTCTTTCCACATTGAGAGCAGATGAAAGGCTTTATTCCAGTATGAATTAACATGTGCGTCTCAAGGTTTACTTTACATGTGAAAGTATTTCCACACTGAGAGCAGCTGAAAGACTTTTCTGAAGTGTGAGTTACCAAATGAATCTTAAGTTGTCCTTTCTGTGTAAAACTCTTTCCACACTGAGAGCAGCTGTAAGGCTTTATCCCAGCATGAATTAACATGTGATCCCTCAGGTTTCCTTTACATATGAAACTCTTTCCACACTGAGAGCAGCTGTAAGGCTTTATCCCAGCATGAATTAACATGTGATCCCTCAGGTTTCCTTTACATATGAAACTCTTTCCACACTGAGAGCAGCTGTAAGGCTTTATCCCAGCATGAATTAACATGTGATTCTTAAGGCTTGTTTTCTGTGTGAAACTATTTCCACACTGAGAGCAGCTGTAAGGCTTTATTCCAGCATGAATTAACATGTGATCCTTAAGATTTCTATTACATGCGAAACTCTTTCTGCACTGAGAGCAGCTGAAAGGCATTTTGATGTCTGTTTTTTTAATGCTGCAACTCACTGATCTTTCTCCATTGACATCACGATTTTTCTGATCCTGATATTTATCCTCCTCCTCATTTAGATCTTGTCTTTCTTCTTTCATTTTCATCAGGCCTAAAATGAAATCATTATAAAGAAAATCAATTGGTACTTTGAAAAATAAAAGGATAAAATAATATTTGTGTACAGACAAAAACAATGTCAAAACTGTCCCTTTTTAACAGATCTATGAAAATGTCTAAAAACATTGCATTATGCTGCCAAGCCAGTAGATGGCGATGTCATTTTGTAAAGAAACACTACACATTGACAGCTCCAGCAAACAGGGTTTATTCTTTGATCACTTTATGTAATTTGACCAGGGCTGCAACAACTAATCGATTCAATTGATTATTATTGATAATGAAAATCATAGCCAGGTCTGCCCACAGTGCACGTCCAACTTCATCAGGTCGTGTCAAATTATAGCACTGAATTACGCATTTCTATGGACAAAATGCATCTAAAAATAGTGGAGGAGACAGAATGAGATGTTGCGGGAGAGTTACGTGATCCAAGCTGCCCAAAACATGAGAATTCTTTATTTTAAAGGGGTCATATGATGCTGCTAAAAAGAACATTATTTGGTGTATTTGGTTTAATGGAATGTTTATGCGGTTTAAGGTTAAAAAAACACATTATTTTCCACATACTGTACATTATTGTTTCTCCTCTATGCCCTGCCTTTCTGAAACGCGTCGATTTTTACAAAGCTCATCGGTCTGAAAAGCGAGGTGTGCTCTGATTGGCCAGCTATCCAGTGCGTTGTGATTGGCCGAATACCTCAAGCGTGTGACGGAAATGTTACGCCCCTTACCATATTGTGATGCCCCGTCCGGCCGGAGCAACGAGACAAAAATTTTTTAAACCCATTATAAACGAGGCATTTGTTACATCCAGTGGGGACATACTTACGGATTATAATGACTTTTACGGTCTTTTTACGCCTTGCGTTGCATTGCGCCACGTAAACATAAAACCATTTCTGCCTTTGTGATCAGAGAAATGATAAACAACAAGTGCTACTCTACACTGCTCAAAACTCGCGTTTGAATCGTCAGTGATAAATTCTTTAAATATAAAAAACATACAGTCTGTGAGTCAGAACAGTCTGCATTGTAGAAGTCCTCCATAAAATGCACTGGACACATCTGAATATCTGTGTTAAACTGTTCTGGAACAGTGTTGTAAATACAGCTTAACCACTGATTTCTATTTGTGTCCTCTTTTGAAAGGCCAAACAAAGTAATTTCGCTTTCACAACGAAACAGCGTCACACAGCCTTAAGTGAGGGGAGGCCTGAGGCCTAGAGTGAGCGGAGGCCAGCTTGAGTGAGCGGAAGCCAGCTTGAGTGAGCAGAGGTGGGCGGGCTTGAGATCGGCACGGCCGGCGGATTCGAGGAGCGGCAACAACATGTGACAACCCCGGGCTGGACTCTGCTTTGTCCACGGTGAAAGCCGATCCGGCGATCCACAGCGCAAAGTTGATGTATTTCCTCAGCGACCAGCACGGATCAGCTCCAGGCATGACGATGCGAATATCGTCCTTTTTTGGAAGGCCAAACAAAGTAGTTTCGCTTTCACAACGAAACACACAGCGTCTTCACGACATGGTGGCGGCGGCAACAACAATACTACAGCGAGAATAAAAGGGATTAGGGGTGTGCCCGAAGCGTGAAACAAATAACTCATTCTACACTGCCACTAAAAGGTTAGCTAGCCGCTTGCTAGTGGTAGTCTGTTGCATTACAGTACATGAAAGTTCACTTACCACATACACAGAGTAAGGAGAAATGTCTGATAGGACGATGGCGAATGATTTGCAGATCCTGAGCACCAATGACAAACATCTAATCTTGTCAAATGTGTGGTAAGTACTGCGACTCCATAGTATAGAGTCCTTGTGATCGTGAATCTCAAAAGTGAAAGTGAAAGTAAAATGAGAGCGCACAATCAAAAGCGATTTTTTACAGTGGTCTATACTTACTCAACGATATAATTGCGAGAAAAAGTATTGAAATATTTTTTTTAATCCTCCCATCTCGTAGGCTATTTATTCACTTTAGGGTTTCCCTAGTACACTTAATTTCCTTTCTGAACACGGAACTGGGATGCGGCGGATTGCGGGAGAGGGGGTGGTGGAGGGTGAATCATGATGTCAGCTTAACATTGTGATGTCTGTCAGCCATCAGCAATGGACGATGGCATCGCCTATCAGCCCAACCCTAGTGTTCAATTTAAATCTTTACTGAATAAGCGCCGGCGCAGTGGACAGACGGAACACGGACAGAGGGAGACAGTTAATACTCAGCACAAAAACATTTGTTGTGCTGAAATATCTGTTGTTGAACGTAAATTAAGGTTTAAGTCAACATGCAGTGCACATATTTTATGAGAGTAGGAACTGTAAAGAGATAACAGCGTGTAATTGTTTGAATATAAATATCCCGCCTTTTACAGGATAAAGAAATGACAGTAAGACGTGAATGTGATCAAAGTGAATATGTGTTCCTGCAGAACATTACTTTCACTTGTTGGTTAACACAGAGTTTGTCATTTTATTTGTCTTTATTATCGTTTTCATTTTTAATTTAGATATTTAAACTATATTCAGTGCTTAACACATTTATTAAAACAAATTATGTAAGGTTTGTGCCACTGCTGCTCTAAACTAACAGTATTGGTGATTACCAAAATCATGTTTTAGCTTTCTGTATTGGTTAATCCTCCAATTTGTGTAAGCTCTTTAGTAACAGTAGTAGGCTGTCACTAATGCTATAATATAATTATTGCTGTTATCTATGAAAGAAAGGCGGAAAAAGTAGCCTAGTCAAGCGCTTTATAGTGTTTTTTTTACTTCCCAGATGCCCAATTACAGTCAAAAAATACCTAAACAATGCCAGCACAAATGCAAGCTGTTATGAAAGGCATAGGGGGCCATTTTTGTTATTATGTGAATAAATGCTATTTATTTGTTATTTGCCCAATAAATGACAATAACATTTTTAGATTTTAACAGTTTTTTGACAGATTCCTAAAATATTTGTGTTTTCTCTTTATGGCAGGTGGTCTAATAAATTGTTAAGCACTGTATGTTTTCATAGCATTCAGTTGGCATGTTTGTTTGAAGGACACTGGGCAGAATGTGGAATAGTGTGTTTTTGTCAATAAAAAAAATTTAATCTGGCTTTCCCCCCTATCCGATTAATCGATTAGCCGAAAAAATAATCGGCCGACTAATCAATTACCAAAATAATCGTTAGTTGCAGCCCTAAATTTAACAATTTAAATAACATATTATATTCATGCTATTAGGCGAAACAATGTTTAGTTTGGTCACTGGCTTGATTTCCACACATATTCAATATACAGTGCTTAACACATTTATTAAAACAAATTATGTAAGGTTTGTGCCACTGCTGCTCTAAACTAACAGTATTGGTGATTACCAAAATCATGTTTTAGCTTTCTGTATTGGTTAATCCTCCAATTTGTGTAAGCTCTTTAGTAACAGTAGTAGGCTGTCACTAATGCTATAATATAATTATTGCTGTTATCTATGAAAGAAAGGCAGAAAAAGTAGCCTAGTCAAGCGCTTTATAGTGTTTTTTTTACTTCCCAGATGCCCAATTACAGTCAAAAAATACCTAAACAATGCCAGCACAAATGCAAGCTATTATGAAAGGCATAGGGGGCCATTTTTGTTATTATGTGAATAAATGCTATGTCCAAATGAAGTTCTTAGCAATGCACATTACTAATCAAAAATTAAGTTTTGATATATTTATGGTAGGTAATTTACAAAATATATTCATGGAACATGATCTTTACTTAATAATCTAATGATTTTTGGCATAAAAGAAAAATTGATTATTTTGACCTATACAATGTATTTTTGGCTATTGCTACAAATATACCTGTGCTACTTATGACTGCTTTTGTGCTCCAGGGTCACATATATCTTACAGTAAAAGTAAGTTTGCAAAGCCTGCTGCAAAACCGTTACTGATTTACAGTGAAATGTAACGAACAAGCAAATAATGCTCTACTGAGACATTCGCATGATTTAAAATAACCACAGTCCTATAGCGACTTTACTTAAAATGTGGTTTATACTAGCGTAAAAACTAAACAGCAGCAGATCTCAGTTCAGATGATACTCCTCCAGATATTCCTGCTTGCTTCAAAAACTTAGTCATGACTATGAGAACGAGAATATCCAAAAACGGTATTTCTCTGTTTACAGAAACAACATTTCTAACCGATTGTATTAAGCAGCATCACGACAAAACAACAGACCGCGCTGAAACTGAACTTCTTCCTCTGAGGGTTAATGGTGTTTGGCAAACAAGCGTATGTGTTTTGCGCCACCCGCTGGACTGGAGTGTGAAGCGGCGAGAGGAGGGAAATAATACGGGGAAATTACATGCGTCTAAAAGATGCGCTGATTTTGTTTTCCTTTGAAAAAGCCGATCTGCACAAATAAGTGATAAATAAATTATGGACTCGCATCAACATCAACAATCTTCATGATTTTGGATTGGTAGAGAAAAATTATAGAAGTCAAATATTTCAGTGAAAATCAGTTCCCTAATGGTTAAGGGCCATTCCACCGAATAGAGCCCTGAAATGCAATGCAGCATTTATTAAAATACAGAAATTAGATCAATCAAAACACTTTTTAAATAATAATATTAAGCCATGATTAAACACATAGAGGGATAACAGAAATCATAACTTCGTGGGTTCGTTTCATCTTAATTTACTGCGCGCCTCTAATCAGCACGCGCTGCTCCAGGGCTGGAGCTTCCACAGAGAGCCGCGCGCTCGCGGAATTAAAAAATGTACGGTCATATCCGCACCTGTACGATCGCTCGCGCAGAGACTTTAAAGATTCAGAGAAGGCATTTAATTGCCAGAAAGAAATTGCAACAAAGCTTGGTGTCGACGACCCGGAGTTATGCAAAAAGTGAAGTAGAGAAACATCCGAGACAAGTTCTGCAGATAAAAGTGGTTTGACTCGCTGCGTCTGAAAGCTTTGATGACTCGCGGAGGGACGGATCGAGTTCTGGGAGAGAATTTTGAGAGTGGACGGCGCTCCACGACCAGCTTCTTCTTCTTCTTCTTCTTCTTCTTCTTCTT